AATTAATTTTAGCATCAAAGCAATTGAGTAAATTAGTTCAAAATAAAAGATGGGGGAAAGTCAATAAAAATTAAAATAGAATAGCGGCTGTGTGTGGGCTTTTTCCCAGGGAGTCTGCAAACCAGTTCTCTACTTGTATAAGATTCTGCTTCAGCATTAGACTATCCTCTGTTATCCTTGACATGTGTAATTTTTTAACCTGTCTTATTACTGCTTTTGATAGTTGATTTCTTATAGTACATATGCTACTTGAGTTTTTTCTTTTAACACAAAAGCAAAGTGCTCCCTCTGTTTTTGAGTGTAGGCGGTTAATGTGTGAGGCATTTCCTGTAGGATTGATAGGTTTATATATGAAATTTTAGAAAGGATGTATACAAAGAAAGGTGAAGGCTAAGATGCAGGCAAAGAAGAGATGGAAAAACAGAGTTTTGTTCATGTTTAAAAGGAAATTTTGGTCAATAATGATTGTTTTTTCAGGGCTGTTGCCTTTGACACCGACACATGAGCAATGCCCCTGGGTCCATTTAAAATGCAGATGATTTCCCCCAAGGCTGTGACTTGAAATGACAGACAAAAGGAGAGTTTTGGATGACAGCCTTCCAGTTTCCAAGCTAAGCCTGCCTGGAATCCATTTGATCATTATGCACTGTAGCTTAAAAAATGTGCCTGAGAAGAAAAAAAAACATACCTTGCAAGGGAGTTTCTCAGCCCTGTATAACTGGTGTAAAATGTGGAGTTGCTTTGGATTTGTTCCCTTGAGAGAACTTCTTCTTGGCTTGCAGAGGTATTTCTTACTATATTTATTCATTTTAAGTCTCATTACGTTTTGCTTTGGGACTTTTTAGAATTCTATGTGAATGAGAAGAAATCTGACACTCTTCCCCCTCCTGATTAAAGCAAATGAACATGCAGACCCGTATTTCTCTCTAGTTCTAAAAGAAGTAAGGCAAGTAGGAAGTTAGGATGTGTGGATCATTACAAGGTACTTTCTCATCAGGTCAGGTAAATGTGGAGAAAGGAAGGGGAGGAGAAAAAATAGTATCTTGCACAAGGATAGCCTCTGGCGGTACCAAGAATTGAATCAACCCTTAAGAAAGCCACAGAGTACAAAATGGAGCTTTTGATCAGCAGAGAATTGGAACTGATCTGCTGAGCTGGCTTTCCCTCTGTACTACCGGGAAGAGAACAGCAGAGCTCTTCCTGGTAGTATGTTACTTCTGCAGCACTTTCTCTTCTGTAATCCAGCAAGTTTTCCTTCAATGTCTTCCTCATTTGTGACTGTCCCCAAAGCAGTGTACTCCCTTCTACCAAGTGCACAGAAAAAAACATGATCCAGCAAGAGGTGCTTCTGTTTGCTCTCAGGGTTGCTGTATTACTTCCCTTGGGAATAATATAAGGTGTGTGAAAGCAGCACAAGAGTGCATCACCACTTGATGGCACCAAACAAAATTGAAAGAACCTTTGAAGTAAATAGGGAAGGAACTCAGCTTTTCTGCAGTGTGTGAGGGCACCAATATAAGTAAGTCATGCTTGCTGTAGTACTACAGCACTCCATGAAGCGCTCTCAGCATCTGTTAAACTTTTTCATTTTTCAGTTTGTTTCACACGGCATGAGTACCTCAGCACTGTTGTAAATGATAAGCAATAGGGCTTTATGCAGGAACTTAGTAAACAGACAATGTATTCTTAGCCCAAGGTGCTGGCCAATTTGTGAGCAAGAGTGTAATTGCTTGGCTAAAAATGTTCTGGTCACCTTGTACTGTGGCAATATGCTCCCTGTATCTCTTCCATGTTATAATCATTTGCAAGAGTACAAAGCAACTGTAGGTGAAAATTGAGCTTCTGGACTGCATGATTTGAATAACTTTTCAAAATAAGGAGAATTCTAGAACCACTGCGTTATTTGCTGTTAGATTCACAATGACCTTGATATTTCAGGATCTTCTTGTATTACAGATATTCCTCTTTGTGTTTTCTGTGGGGGCAGATGTTCTCAGCTCAATGACTGAAAGGATGACTGTATTGATTCTTCAGCCATTAACATTGAAGTGTACCAACAGAGAGGTTCCCTAATACTGTTACAGTTGCTTCTCCTTGTCTTTTCTGAACACATTTTAAGAATCTTGTTCTTCTTGGGTTTTTATTAGTTCTCTGAAAAATGAGTTTCAGCATCAGGCATCTGCAAGATAACCTTCTGGTTTTTCCATTAAATACACAGCAATTGCTAGAGGCGTCCTTTATTTAATGCATTCTGAATCCTCCGCTTTCTGTAGTTTTAGCTTCCTTTTTCTTTTCATCTGTCCCTGAACATATTGCCTTGCGTAATTATATCCTGTTTTGTGGACAAAGAGAAGGAAGAAGATGTTAATGCTTGTCAAAATGATGAGCAACCTCTTCTTTTCCCTGATTCCAACTGTAAAACCAGATAACTGTTGGTTTATCTTCTCAGCTAGCAGAATAGAGACAGAGCTTATCTCAGCCTGAAATGGATCAGAAACAATCAAAGATTGCAGCATACTTGTTTTGTTTCCCTTTCACTTCCAATTCTCCTACATCATGGATTAATGGAAGTGTCTAGTGTTGAGGATCTTGTACGTGCCTATATGTTGCATTCGTGCACCAGTCCCGTCTCTTCATTCCCATGCAACTGCTTTGTAATTGATTGTTAGAATTAAGTAGAAAACTGCTTAACTGAGAAGCTATTTGCTTTTCATTTGCATAGCACCTAGTACAGTCGAGACCTGGTCTGAGCAAAAAATCCTGATAGTAATATACATACAGTAATAATACATGAGGTAGATATCCTATGGGTCACCATACACATGCGCACTCAAATCATTCCCAGCCCTACCAAGCTCATGCAGATTTTTTAAGAGTTTTTATATCATGCCTCTGAATTTTGTGCATGTTGATTCCAGCGATGAGTGTTGACTGAGGATCAGTTTCATTCTGTTTCTAGACTGCATTGCATCCCTGTTAGGCCTTTTTCTGTCCAAGTGCAATTTGACTTTAAACCTAGAAGCTTTTCATCACTACAGTAAGCTGTTGCAAGCCCAAGGTGCAGGAGGTATTGGGATGCTCTCTCTCACTGTGGTGTACTCAAGAGAATAAATAGAGCTCTGCAAAGAGTTGAATATTGAAACCCATTAAAAACCTTTGGCTGTGGTTTTTTGTTGGTGTTTTGGTTGTTTGGGGTTTTTTTACTGCTTACTTTCCTTCTGCAAAGATTTTATTAAAAGAAAGTCCTAGGTATTTGAGAGCATCAGTGTCATGTTTTTTGAAAGATGAGTCTTTTATTTCCTCTTATGAAACTATATTACCCATTTAATAAAACTTTAAAAGATGCTAGCAGCTTTATTGCTGGGTGCTGGTGTTCCAGTTTGACCCTTCTTAAATTGCTAGTGAAACAGTCTGTAGCAATTCGATAATTTTATCAAAATATGATTAAATCCAAATTCCTGTAATTGATGCTTCCTGTAAGGATTATTGATACAGGACTTTATTGAAAGCAAATGTATGTTTGAACTCCAGAGGGAAGAAAATGGAAAGCAATTACAGCAACAAAGTGGATGTTGTAATGTAATATTCAAAGCATGCTTTTCTTTGTCTATTAAATTCTAATTTAATGGGGAGATTTCATGTGCCACTTAAAACTCCATATATTTAGACTCTGCAGTGATTTAGCTCTGCTTTTGGCACAGATGTCTCCTTCATTCTGAAGGCTCTCTAGGCTGCAGTACTTTTCCAGGCTTGGTTATCTGTGTAGCCCTCAGCAACAGACAAGAGATTTACTTAGGGGGACAGGGAGTTGGTGGCCACGTTAATCTGATAAACGTTCTGGAAAGCATGCTCACTCAGATGGAAGAGTCAACCCTGCCTCTAAGTGGTGCTGGAGCTTGGCTTGGGGCTGCAGGCATCTGCACATGAGCTCAGCTCAGTCATTGGCATTTTCTAGGGAATTCACAGTCATTTCTGTGCTTATTTTTCATGCATACAAATTGAACTGAGAAACACTGCATGCATCTCTTCACACTGGGGTGTGAAATTCAGCCCAGGACCAAGGCAGCAGTTTCTAACATTGGACTTATAATAGGTGTTTGAGTGTTGGCCAAAGTTAAAGCTCCATGTGCTTTTTGTCACCACTTCTCCAAATGCAGAGCAAAGTGCATGTGTGTGAATAAGGATGAAATAAAAGAGGCTGAACTTAAAGGTATTCAATTTTACAAATTGGTCAAGCACTGGAGTAGGTTGCCTGACAATACTGCTGAAGCCATGACATGAGATGTATCAGAGTAGGTTGTCAGTGCAGAGGGGTGGGGAAGGGCTCTCAGCAGAGTTTCCCCTTGCATAAGGTTTACCTCACTGATGAAGATTTCTAAGGCAAATGGAGCATGCAAGCAGCCCAGGGATGACCTGTGTTGAGGCATAATGGATTCTTAAGTGGTAAAGTGAGGCATGAGTTAGAGAGTATGGGAGGGACCAGATAACACAAGCTCTAAAGTTTCAGACTCAGTTATATTTTGATGTAATTCTGATACTTGTGGATATCATCAGTCACATCTCTTTGACGAGACCAGCAACAATACGATATTATAGAATCACAAGGACAAGGTTAAAAAACACCACAGTATTTATAGCAGTATTTATATATGAAGTTGATCTTCATATATATACCAAGCTGTTATTTTATGGTATTCATCTTTTCAGGAGAAAAGCAGTAGGCTTTCTGGAAAGTGAGAAGTTTAAAATATTATACATTTGTGAAAAGGTCAGATTCCCCTTTGTACATACTGTTAGGGTGTTAAAGTTTCATTTTTTTTACTTGAAAGGGCTATCTGGAACTCCTTAGAGAGCAATGATTGATTGCAAAGGCAAACACAGAGAGATTTGTATCTGAGTTCATGAATGGTGGGGTTTTGAAACTCACAGATCTTGATTACAGAATTTGTTTCTGTGATAACAGAGTCATATTGTCACCTGAACTATTTATTATCTTTTAGGTTTCGTCATAGTCCAAATTGCTGGTACTTGAGAGACTGGACCATCCACAGCTGGATCAGACAGTGTTTGAAATATGGTGCTCAAGACAAAGCCTTATACACATTAAAAAACAAAGTAAGATTTACAAAGGAAAAGCCATGAATATGTTTGATCAGCTTTTTGAGACAAATGTGGCTTGACTGGAATTCCTGTTGCAGCCAGGTCCTGTACACTGTGGTTTTAAGTTCAGATATTTCTTTGTCAAAATAAAAATTAATGTTGCATTTGAATTTTAGCTCTATCTCTTTACAGCTTTTAAAATCCTCTTCTTTCCCAGGAAGCTTTTTGGTTTTAAAGAGCATTGGTGTCCAAAACATGCTAGGTGCAGAAGAGGCATAAAACACATGACAGGCAATGCCATTCCTGGTTCCAAAGGTTTAGATAAAATGCCAAAACAAATGCAGTGCATCAAAAGCTGGAAGGTCTCCATCACAGGAGGCACACTAATCTCCTTGTGTTGCTTGACTGTACATTGCAGCAGTGTGCAGCGCCATGGTTCTGGTCTTTCTGATACCTGTAGGGCTGTGCTTGGGAAGATTTGTACAGCACGTTTGCACACTGAGCTTTTTCATTCTTCTCTTTAGGTTCAGTATGGAATTTTTCCAGATAATTTTACATTCAATATTTTGTTGGATTATTTTATAAAGCAGAAGAAATATGAAGGTAAGAAAATATGTACCGATACTGAATCCTCTGTTGTATGCTCTTATATTTGCAGAGCCTTTCTTTGAATTAACAACTTTTAGCTGTGTTTTTTCTGAAGTCACGGTAAAACGTGCCTTCTCCTTCCTTCAAACTATTTTTCTGCATTTTTATCTCTCATTTCTGTTGGGTTTTTATTCATTATAGAATTTTGAAACATGTAAGATTCACAGTTTTTACTGTTATTAATCCTATTACAAATGTAAACCATCTTCTTCAGTTTTTACAAGTCTGATTTATGTGCTAATAATGTCACAGGAGTTATTAGTGACAATTAATTAGAATGTTATCAGAATCAAAATGCATATTGGTAGTGTTCATCTTCCATACGTTTAGCTGTTCAAAAAGCTACATATCTAAACTTTGTCTAGGCTTTCTGTCTGTCACTGGAGCAAGCCAGCTATGCTGAATTGTCATGCTGGGAGTACATCTCACTACTGACTGTTTAAATGTTCAGATGAATAATCCTCTTGTGTTTGATGACATATTAAAGATTTTAATTTCATTTCAGGTCTCCTAGTACTGTAGACTTACAGTAAGCTTTCCTTTGCATAAAGCTCTTGTAAAACAAATAACTGAAAGGAACAACAGCTTTTATCCTGAAGGTTATGCTAAATGGCAAATTAATACATGTATTTATTTTATTTTGAGACACACCTCCATCTTTGAATTCTCCCTTTTTTCATCCATACTTCTTTTCTGTGTGAGACTCAAGGCCTTTTGTTTAACAAACTGTCCTTTCTGACAGGGAGTGTCACTGGAACTCCCTGCAGAGCTCCTTCAGAGCATTGTTTGCTGAATAGAGAAGACTGCTGTGGGTGATCTGTGACAACATTTCTGGTCCTTTGTACTCTCCTGTCACCCTAAGGGTAGTGAAGTTAAGCCAGTCTTCTCTTGTTTGTAATCAAAACACAAGAACAAAGAAATAATTTTAAAATATTTTTTTAAAGGTTAATAATTGAAGAGCTGAGCAAAGAAGGGCCAATTGAAGAGTGTAGAGCTAAGATGATTTTGAGAGCTCCTTTGCTGTAGTTTCATGCTATCAGCCCATTCTTCCTTCTTGCAGTGTGTTTGAATAACCCTAATGAATAAGACTAATTCTGTAGTTGTATTCTAGATGTAAGAAATGCTTAACTTTCTCCCTAATTATTTCAAAGCATACTACAGCAATAAAGCATGGGGGAACATAAGTGGGTACAAAAGGCAACTGTGTACTGGGAGCTGTGCTGATTATGTGTTGTTTTCCTCCATAGATGCTATGTCAGTAGTAACAGAGATCATGCTCCAAGAAAGTTTTGATGAATTATCAACACAGCTTCTTTCTCTCTATGTTTTATACCAGTATCTGGCAACCAAGTCTGATCATGCGGTAAGCTGACCACACTCAAAATGATACACAAAGCCTCTACTTCTGAGTGTCATAATGCAGTCAGTTGGGCATTCAATCATGAATATATTTTATTTCCCCTAACTTTACCTGGAAAAAATAAATACTCTATAGCTTTCATTTTTTTTTACAATTGCAGAAGAAAGAAAGGAAAAAAAAAACAACCAAGTGTGAAAGCCATCAAATCACTTGTCAGGCCTTTTGCTCCTTTCTCTGAAAGGGAAGGTGTGTTGGGATTTTCAGATGTAATGTATTTGAAGGATATGAAATGATAGTTCAAAGTAGACTCTTATCAATTACCACAAAAAAACTATGGTGCATATTGTATAGGACCCTGCTAAGCTGAACGTTGATGATGGTGGTGGTGTGGAATTATAGAGCATAGGTTTCACTAGGTTTTTTAGTATCCTATTTGGCTTTGGGTGTATTGTTTCTTATACATATTCATTTTAAAACTTAATTTGTTACACCCCTCCTGTCTCCTAGGATGAGGGGTTTATTATTCACAGCTTGCTTGTTTAAGGTCAACATGACAGGTCAGGGTCTTGGAAGTGGCATTATTCTACCTTTGCACAAGGGGCTCAGTCAGCAAAGGGTTCTGCAGTGCCCACCACTTTTAGGGAGCTACTTTTCATGTAGTTTGGCACAAGCTTTCAATAGCATGTTGTCATGCATAAGGAAAATGCTTGAAGCCTCCATTTGTCTTACATGAAGCATCTTCCAAAATGCATATTACAGGTGTCTTAAAGTTTTACCCAGCTGGGTTGTAATTTCAGTTTTCACCAAAGAAAAGAGATGCGCATTTGCCCTGTTGGATATTCTTCTTCATTACCCAGAAATCAAGTACGCTCAGTCACTTTTATATGAAAAGTGTAGGCATGAAAATCTCATTTTTCTAGTGTGTTTGTCCACACTGTTTGCATATCCTTACTGCAGAGACAACTGTTTATCAGTATATGTAGGGTTTCATGAAAGCTAAATGTGCAAGCAAGAGTGGTGTGACCATACAACATGCTGAAGGCAAGCGTATTGACATAGCTGTGACTTACTTGATATGCATTTTGAAATAACCCCATCCAAAGACAGCAATGAAATAGTATTTTTATTTGTAGATGCTATTTAAAACGTCATGATGCTCAGCACTAATTTTCTGTGTTTGATTTAGGAAGTGGGGGCAGACAGAGTAAGGAGAAATGCTCAGCTGCTCCTGAAAATCCCATTTTTTTTCCCAAGGTGCAAGACAGGTCAGCCAGTGTCCTGTGGCAGATAGGTCCTTGACTCTAGCTTGGGGTTCAGCAGCCTAATGAAATGTTTTTTAACTTTGAGAACTAAATCTTGGGCAATCTGACTGTATTAGTTCTTAGTGTGTATAGCAGTGGTGATAGGGAGCTTCCATTTCCCTGTTGTTGTACATATCACTGAAAGCCGGACTGGTCTTGGCTCTCCCCAGAAAGTTTCCTCCTTGAGAGCTGTAAATAATCAGTATGATTGCTGCCTTCTACTACAAAGCAGTCCCGCTAGCTCCCAAAAGAACCTAGGCTGGTAACAGCCCTGTTTTTCTAGTTGCATCTGATTTTCTTATAACATTCACCTGGAGTGTTGAATTCAGCGCAAAGCAGCCCTGTTCCCTTGTATGCTTTTTCTGAGTTGGGCAAATACCTTGCCTGGCTGTCAGGTGCTGGTATTTTGTGTCAGAGAATAACACGCAAATTTTTGTAGCACCTGAATGGAGACACAAAAAAAATGCCGTACCTTGAAAAGAGAACTCTAGTAAAACCAGAAGATCGAAACTTTTGTGTATTTTTAAGGCTCAGTGTGCTTCAAGGATTTTTTCAGAAAGCTGCTTCGCCAGGGGTATTTCTTTCAGTTCATAAGGTAATCAACAAGACATTGAAGTACCCTGTCACAAAAACCATGTGTTAAGATAGTCAGACTTCCTCCAGTCTGTTGCCTTTTATAGCTTCCTTTTCCTCATTTTCTTAGCCATGGGAGTTGTTCACCTCCTTTCACTTGCAATAAAGCTCTTTTTACTTGCTTCTCTGGTCATGAAAAATGCACTGTGCTGTGGAACAACCTAAACAAAATTTACACTACTCTTGTGGTTTTAACATACTTACTGATAGGTGCCCTTCTTTAGCCATCACTGGTGGTCTGGCTCAGACAGCTGGTACATCTTTGTAGCTGGAGAGACAGCTGTACTTTTAATCCTGTGGCATGGAGGGGTCTTGGTGAGTTGCACATGCTCTTTTCACAGAGCAGATTTTGCACTCAAAGCAGCCATTAGCTGCATATGCTTCTCTCAGCATTTTCATATTCTAGTGAGGGGTAGTGGAGTGTATATCTTGCCACATACTTTAAAGAAAGGGCTGCTGTAGTACAGAAGCCATGTAATAGTTTTCTTCAGCAGTGCTAGCCTGAAGCAAGTGGTAGGACATACAGGACAGAGACAGAGCTTGGCCAGTGTAAAGCAGTGTAATCCATTGTCCTGAAGAAAATGCACTGATTGACTTCCATGCAAAATTTCAACCACTCACATTTTACAGTCTTCTGGGAAGAGAGGTATTCCTCTGTGTAATGTGTACTGCTCCTGTAACTGAACACTGGACATGTTTAACGATTCTTTACTTTATTGCTATGACATCTGATGAAAGCCACGTGCTGTCTTTGCTGCCATTTTTTGTGTGTTTGTTTAGGAACGCTTACTTAGTTTACATTATTTGCAGTGGGAAGAGGAGAGAAATCTTGGAGCATCACTAGTGCTTGCGAGTCTAAAGCAAAATAGCACTGTGGGTTTCAGCTCCCAGCTGTATGGCTATGCATTCCTTGGTAAGTTTCACCTCCCTTAATCATCTTTTCCCTCGTGTCTTCAGAGGCTGAATAAAATTGCCATCTTTGCTTTATTAAAGTGTAATCAAAGAGAACACAAAGGAAAAAAAAAAAAGAAATAATGGAAGGACAGTTTCAAGAGTCATGAGTGAATCTTTTGTAAGCCTGGAGGGTAGTACTGACTTGAATAGTATGCCCTTCATCAGACAACTTCAGAACCAGCTTTGGGGTTCCCTGCAGGTTTGGATTGGCAGCTGAAAGAAAGAAAACACTCTTAAAGAACACAGGATTGATTTCTTGGTCGACCAACAAATTTAAAGAAATACCCCAAAAGTACAGATTTCCATGGCACAAATTTAAGGTTAAAGACAATAGACTCTTTTTCTAGTTATTAAGTGTCTTAAAACGATCTTTAAACCTTAGGAAGTCAAAGAGCACAGCCTGAAAATCACTATGTTTAGAACATATACTACTCACTGTAAAGTTAATGTTTGGTTTGTGAACAGCAGATAATAGTGCCTTTATCCTGTATCTGTTAAGGAGTCTTCACTGCTAATGACTTGCTATATTATTAAAGAGAAGTTAGATCAGAACATGTTCAGAATCGGAGGGAAGGGGAATGGGCAAGTAATTCTTGGATTTCCTTTAAACCTTTAGAGGAATATAATGCAGATAGGTTTTTTCCTTCTCTACAAAATGATTATTTACTAGAAAGAAATTAATTGATTTACAATTTATTGTGAATTGTTGTTCCATTACTGCATTATTGAGAATATAAGTGGATTTGTACTTAAAATGTGGCCTCAAAATATGATGTGTGATGGCAGAGTTAGGGTGCTGACTCACATTTATCATTTCTGTAAAACAAAAAACTTAATTTTCAGTCAAAAAGGGCAGTAAATGTGAAAATTAATTTGAAAGCAGGATTTTCCATAGAGCTGTAGTTTGTAGTCCAGTGGAGATACTGATACAAATAGGGACTTTGCTGTCCAGTTGGCATTCATGTTGGAGAGTTTTTAATGTTGTATGGATTGGTTGAGTAGTGGCTGTATTTCACAAATGCACTTCACTCTTGTCTGTGAGCAGTAGTGCTTGTTTCATGACATTGACATTCAGTAGATCAAAAGCTATTTACTGTTATGTCACATATTCCAAAGTCTTGCCAACACTAATGGAACCGACCTCTCAGAGAGTGAAAGATGTCTGTGGGCACAGACTGGCCTCAAGCACCTTAGCTATTTTAGTTTAGCCATAGTCCATAGACTTTGTCTGTGCACTTATTGCCTTGCTTCTCCTAAACTGTTCTCTTCCATGTAAAGAAGAGTAAGGTGCATTTCATAGTTTTGTGTCATTATAGCCAGAGTGCAAATTAGATTGAGAGATTGGACACAAGTCCTGTGAGCTGCACTTGAAGGGGTATTACTTATTACATCAACAGTGACAAAATCAAAGCCTTAGAGTGACAATCATTGTAAATTACATCAACTGCAATGTGATGTGCATTTCGTCTATTATGTAGGAGTTTCATGTTCTCTAGTAGTTACTGTCAGAAGAAAAACCACATTGTCAGTGGTGCAGTACATCACAGGTCCTGCTAAAGTCAGTGAACACCTCAGTGCACAGATTGTCCTAAATCAAGAACCAAAATTTCATTTTGGCAGGTCTCCCCTATTTTCTCTCCGGAAGCTCCAGCAGAAAGAGGGGTACTAAGTTGTATACTTAACCAGAGCATTTGCTGTAATCTGTGGGTAAAGCCTAAAGTCCACGGAGTTGAATCTAGAAAGTCAGATTTAATGCACATGCATTCCACAGTCAGTCCCTGAAAGCTAAGGAGACATTTATCTGCCATCTTCAGACATCCTTCTGAGAGCTGGTGTTCCAAAGCCAGACAACCAGAAAAGCTGGCCACTCTAGTCTGATTTCCATCTGGACAAAATTTCTAGGTGAGGCAGAATGGGGAGGAATCAGAAACAAGCACATAATAACCATGAAGTTGTGCAAAAAGAAGGTGCCTTAATAAAATAAGATAATAGTTCAATCAGAGCAACTTTATAGAAGTGTGTTGTTTTTACGACAGAAGCTAGGACTCTTGCTGTCACTTCTGAAAACCAGAGCCAACCTATATGGATTCTTTTAAGACTCAGGTATTGAAGTAGTAACACTAAAGTATGTTTTTATCACAGGAAAAGTGGAGTTGAATAAGGGACTAAGAGCTGTATACAATCTAATGCCACTGATGTGGACACCTGGATATTTGAATAGAGCCTTGCAAGTGATGGAGATTGTGGCTTCATTGTCAGGAGACAGCAAAATCTGCAAAGAAGCTGTAAGTATGAAGGCAATAACCCACTGAACAAATGGAATTTTATATAAGTCAAATCCAGTAAAACCTGTGAATTCTGTGCCTTGCTAATGAGAAGATGCCTGGCAAACTTCAGAGGCCTTTGCAAGACAGAAGTAATGTTTAGAACAAAATCACTGCTTCTACTGGCATGTCCTTGGCAATGAGTGTGTATTATTGCCACAGACCATTTAAGTATGTTTTCTAAGCCTTTCCCTCCCTATAGAGACATGTGGATCTGTGTCGCAGGGAGCACGTCTGTGGGGGTGGAAAGACACCTTTGTTTCTCAAGTTTTTGAACTCGCTCAGAGACATACTTCTTAGCAGTGAGGATGAAATACCACATATTCTTACTCTCACAGCTATGCCCTCTGAGATGATGTCCTGAGTGGTACTGGTCCAAAAAGTCAACAGAGTGATTTCTAGAAGGTATTGCCCTCATTTGGGGAGAGTGGATAGGTTCAGTTCATTTATGAAGTCAGCAGTGACTAAGGGACTTGAGGCTTAGGAATGTTGTGGGGCATCAGACTGATCCTGGACTCAGATTAGGAGTAACTTAAGAAACCACCACAACATGTGCTGAAACATTGCTGAGGTCTCACCTCCTCTTTTAGGTACTTTTTCCTGAAGGTGTCCCTGGTCATGGGAGCCTCCCTTTTGCTCACGTAATTACTAGGCTTGCAGTCTCTCTTGAAACAGAAGGGCAGGGCACTGCTCAGCAGGTCCTGCTGTCTGTTACTCCATTTTCTGAAGCATCTCTGTAATACGTGACAGTACAAGGACAGGTCACATCTGCAACTTCTACCATTTTGAGTTACCTCTTTTGGTGTATGGTTTTGGAGGTATCTTTCTTGCTCCAATCTAAAGAACTCAGCCTAATACACTAAAGCAGTCATATTTTCTGCTTACAAACCCTAGACAAATTGAGGAACTCATGAAGTTGTTGAATACATGACAGTTGTGTTACTCAGATTGTATTTCCAAACTGTTTATGCTTACCATGACAAATGTGATTGTTCAGATTGATGCCCTGGAGACCATTTTACAGTCTGTCCTTGAAGCCAAACCTGGTCCAGATTCTGCTGAAGAAGTCAAGGGATTAGAGCAGAAGTCACAGAGTGCAGAATCAGAAGAAACAGAGCAATCTAAAGCACCTGAGTACTACAGTCGATTCAAAGTAAGAGAGTTTCATTTATTTAAATATCCTAAGCTGTAGTATATCTCTGTGATACATACTAGAAAATAGATATGCTGACTTACTGTGGCTAATAGACTGACACCCCTTCAGTGTCAGTCTAGTAGGAGTCCCACTTGACGTTTTTGAAACTGATGTCACCTTACGTTTTCACTTGTTCAATCAGGAAGCAGCAAAGATGTAAATGCTCAAGGCCACTTGTCTTTTGTCTGTCTGCTAGGATTTTATCTTCACTTTTCATACATCAAAATGATAAATCCAGTCCTGTTCGCATAAGTGTTATGTCATTAGAGACCCATTATTTGACCTTGTGTGGGCTCTTGCTCATTAAAATTAATTATAATAGGCATGAGACCATCCTGAATTTATTGTCCATTTGTGTATACTACAATTATTTAGAAATGTTGCATCCTGTACTTTCAGTCTGGGGAATTAAGTCAGGTTTTATCACCTCTCTTTTATCTTTAGATTGTCATGCTGATGATAACAGTAAGAAAAAGAGCTATTTGTTACAGCGCATCTGTATAACAAGTGCATTTTATGTGATCATCTCATAGCTATATAATGAGCTCATTTTTATTTTATCGTCTCTGATTTGTGCTGTGGTAAAAATCAAATACACTAGGTTGAAACTCATCTGATTTATAGTTCCAGGAGCAATACTAATAGCCCATCAGTTTCCCTTGCTGCTGTCACCTGGACGGCTGTGACCTTGCACAGTTGTTCTGGATACAGACTGTTCTGAAGAAATTTCAGAAGTTAAAAGACAAGTATCCTATGGTTTCACCTCACACACACAGACTTTTCCTTTCTTTAATTTTTATTTACACAACTTTGCCACTAATCTTTAGATATTAAACTTGCTTTGTAGGCAGTTAGAACTTTTTAATTAAAGTATTTGGAAATCAGTGAGTGTTCAGCATGTGGTAATTAAAGCCTGGATGAATTACAGTGAATTAGGTAAACACAAGTGCCCTTTGAAAGAGGGAGTGAGACATTTTTATGTGTTTCTCATTGCCTATCCATTGTCTAGCCTTGAAGAAAATAATGCAGAGTGCTCGAAACAAGGCCTAAATATTAAATTGGGGACAGGCCAGTGCCAAGAGGGTAGTTTTATTCTCACCTCAACCTTTCCACAAGTTCCATAATTAATCCCCTTTCAGGCATTCATTGGTGTGGCAGTGAGTGCCCTGACTTTGGGCCAAAAAATTACAGACCCATTGCTTAACTCCTAAGGTCTCACCAGGAAGGTCTGCATATGAGAAAGACATAGCCCTCATGTGGAGTCTAGGCATCCAACAGTAATTATATGTCCATAAGCCACACTTTCAGGTTTTCTGAATGAGAAAAGGGGCTCTCAAGTCAGAATGCCATTTCAGCCAAGCCTGAAAGAGTTCTGAGACTCTCCTCTCAAATCCATCAGGACAGCAGTAGTCACTCTTCCCAGCTTAATCCTGGACACTTACAGGTGTCATTCACAGGGTACAGTAGTGCATTAGAAATCCATACAAGTGTGAGGGAAGGTGGCAGCTCTGAAGCAACCTGGTGCTGTGTGCATTCACAGCTGCTGTCCCAGGACAGATCACCTGCTCTTCTGTGTAACCCCAGCAAAGGATTTGAACTTCTGCTGCTGAAAACAATTCAGTTGCACTTTGTTCAGCCCTGCATTAGCCAGCATATCCCAGTCTTTCTCCTTGAACTCAAAACCAGTTGCTTCTGCCTCCTGCATGCCCAGTTCTCTTTCACAAATCATACACCTCAGAATGCAAGGAAAAGCATATGGATTTGCTCCAGACACACACATACTCCTCCATTATATTCCATGGAATGGACTCAGTGTCTCATACCAACCTTCAGAACATTTGTGGAAGTACCTGAAAAAGCCATGGCAGCCTAACAGATACAGATACATGTCCTTCACTTCCACGGAAACAAACAGAACTTGAGGGCATTTGGCTCTTTCTAGATAAAGCCTTTAGAGCTGTAATCTAGACACTGACACTGTCATTTGTGTTGTAATTACCCATTTTTGGATCCCGTATGCTGAGACTACTCAGTACAATGCTCCTCAGGCAATTCCTTCCATCTGTGAATGATCAGTGGGCAAACATTTCATCCCATAAATGCTGGGAACACCTCCCCTAACTGTCTGCATGCAGAGCCCTGGAGACTGCTTATGAAAATCAATGATTTAGCCATTTAAGAATGTGCCCTTTTGGTACCTGCAGGACATACAGCCTTCTGCTTTCCTAAATTAGTTTTACTGATATATCACAGAAGAGCAGTGAATATTCCAGAAGTTCAGTGATACCAGTAATGGCTTAGGAGACAAGACCTGCTAGTTTCCAGGTTGCCTTTCTGTAGTTCAATTTCATACTGTTCAAGTTCAGTGCATAAAGCCCCTTTTCAGCACATCCTTGGTAGAGTCTAGTAGTAAGAATCTGAAGGATGTAAACCAATTACATTTAAAATGTATATCTAGTCCATAAACATGAGCATAATTGTCAGGTTCCTTCCCCAAACCCAAGCTGTACTGTCTCCTCACTTTTCTCCCTGATGCCTTGTATACTTACTTACTGATACCTCAAACAAAATAGAGACTAATACACCTGAATAAGTTTATTCAATTTGGTTTTAGTCCATTAGCTTTGAAGACATTGGCTTTGTTTTTATTCTTTATCATAAACTTAAAAACCCCTCAGACCTGCATGTCTAGCATTTTAAAGAGTCTTTAATCTGCTCTCTGTCCAGTTCAAACCTTCAGGGGCCTAATAAAACACAACAAAGCCTGCAGTTGTGCTGGCTAAGGGAGAGAGAACTGGAGAGGCCTCAGAAGAGATGTAGTAGTTTCCTCCCTAAGAACAAGGCAGAGCCTCCAGCCAGGAGCTGAGAAGAAGTGCCTTTGCAGATTATTGCCAGCATGGGCTCAGGTAAAAGGAACACTGTGGGCCAGCAGCACAATGCATAGGCTTTCAGTTATAGCTGGAAGTCTGGATATCTGCATCGCTCTAGAACTGCCATTTTGTTTGGAGGTGAATGATTCCCACATCTTCTTTCCATTATCCTTCAATGCAAAACAAGAAGTTTTATACAAATGAAAGAAGTATGGATGTACCTTTCTTTAGAACGCATGCTTACTTAAAACATTTCTGCAAGTGCTGGGCTCAGTAAAATCTTTTATTTAAAAGAACAATCGGGAAAATATGTATAATGAGTGAACAAGGGATACAGAATCTTCCAGTGCAATGTCATCTCCTCTTTGGTTCTGTATCTGGACTTTTAAGGCAATTAATCGAAGTGTTAGTTAGCCATCAGGCTAAAGATTCCAGAAAGCCAGAAACAGTATCACTGGATAATTCATCATCCTAAGTGAATTAACATATGCTGCATGAAATCTAGATAAGTAAAGCTTGAGAAAGAAAAACTGCAGTTTCTTACTGAGTTACTCTGCTCTTAGTTTCAGTGTAGAATATCCCTGAAAAAAATATCACTTAACAGTGTTGTGTAGTCTGTGTAAGCGTAGTCACTCTTTGGATCACAGTAACTTAGGAAGAAGAACCATGGGAGTTACTTAGTATGCTGTTAAAACATTTGAAATTACATGTATCTGTTGAGAGGGATGCTGATGCAGGCAGTGTGGATCAAATTATCAGGCTGGTTTTGAGGTAAGACACAAAACCAAAGTGTTTAGATTATATTTGTTATGGTTGACTGGTCAGCTGATCTTTGTTAATATCAAATAAATGAACTTGGAAAAAGAAGACATTTTCAGTGGTTAATGAAACTAAAAGTTCATTGGTTTAGTTTTGTTGTTCAAAAAATAATATTCTTGATAATAGCATTTCAAGAAATGGTACCAATTACCACAGTTCAGACACTTTGATGTGATAGTTACCAGGCCTGTATAGCACAGATAATAATAATAATAATAATAATAATAATAATAATAATGCAAACAGTGATGTATCAGTTATAGGGAAGTATTTTGTGGCTGATTATTCTGTGGTTGACTGGCTCTTTCCTTCACACTCCCTACCAAATCTCTTGTTATGACAGGAGCTGTACTCCAAGCTGCATTCACTTGGCAAGGTTGAATCTGAAAGCCTGTTAACCCTGACCACTCAACTTGTCAAGGAAAAGCTGCCAGCATGTGAAGTGGAAGACATTGCCAAACATGAGCAGAAGCTAAAGGAGTGGGAAGAAGAACAAGTACTTCTCATTGAGAGAGAAAGAGAGTTCAGAGAAAAGGCTAAGCAGGAAATGGAAGCTAGGAAGCTGGCTAAAGCATCTGCTTAGTACTGGAACTAGGAAAGCAGAGGTGTGCATTCCTCTGTCTGTGAACATAAGTGCTCACCATTTTTAATATTTCACTTCAATCATGCTGCATGTGTGACCATATTTGACTCCTGTATGCAAATTAAATATCCCATTTTGTCTGTTTCCCAAAATAAAACACATGTGGTTTAGAAATCTTCATCCTGTATATGGTGTGTTTTCCTCTTACCATTAGCCAGGCAAGGGATGGGATAGAGACAACACAAAGAAACAAAGGCATAAGGAGTAGCTTGCCTGTGATGAAGGGTCTAGAGAGTGGAAGGAACAAAAGAAAAGGGAAAAATTTCAAACACAAGATGTTTCAGTAGGGGTTTCTCACAGGAAAGAATGCCATTGCTACTCTGAACTTCGAACACTAAGAGGATTAACGTATATTGATTGCTTTTCTTTCTTTTTCCCAATCCATTTGGAAAATTCAGGCTACTATGCATGGAGCTGGAAGCCTAACTTTAGGCTGTTTTTAAAACTACTCTTGAAGAGTTTCAACCTAGTGAGCTAGCACTTGTACAGCACTCAGATGTGGCCTTTCCTGTAAGGATGTTAAAAATTTCTGACTTTGCCAGTGCTGCTTTGCTCCATTTCTAAGGTCACTAGAGAAACATGCACAATCATCTCGGCACACACCAAGGAGCCTCATACTGCAGTGCAGTTTCCTTTTATATTCTGGGCACTGTTTCATGAAGTTTTTGGCCTAATTCCTTTCACGGTCCCATGCCCCATTCTTCAGATCCATAAAACAGTGTAGCTATTCACAAGAGCACAAGGAAATGGCAAGGGAGGAAAGCATCATGGTGTGTTGGTTGTGATGCATCAGCATCCATCCCTGCTTACATTCCCTGTCACCACTGAATCTCATAAGCTGCAGCCAGCAATTTTAAGCAGACCATGGCAGGACAAGGTCCTTTAAAACAGGGAGTCCCGAGCAATAGCCCTGCTGTAATTGCAGCTTGTTATGGCAAAAGGACTCGTCTCACTGTGCTTTATCAGAGGATCTAATAAGCATTTGCAGTTTTTGGTGTGCATCTGTCTGGTTTTACAGTGATAAAACTCACTTCAGAAACTCATTGTAAATCCAGTGAGAACATGCTGCAAATCCATGAATTTGTTTTAAGTGTAGGAAAGTGTCACAGATACAGCACACACCAGATATCTTTCTTACTCTCAGCAAAAACACTCAGAGCCTGATTGCTTTTTCGTGTCCAAGAACTTGGCAACTTGGCACTAAGGTCCTTCACCCCATCTTGTCAGCAGGTCCCATAGTTTCTCCCATACTTCAGTAAGGGCGTGCTGTCTCCAACCAGGAAAGTGAGTGATTTAGTGGCTTGGCCAGCAGTGGAGCAACTTGAGAAAAGTCTCCTGAAATTTTTTTCCTCTTTCTTGGTCTAAATGCTTTCTGATTACTAGGAGAAGTTAGGGAACCTTAAGAGAGAGTAGAAGGCCAAACACACTCATAAGAATGATTTCCTTAAAGCTGGGTGGCTTTAAAGGAGTTGTCACTTCTAGCTGAGCCACAGGAGAATGTAGTGTCCCTTCCCTGACCACATATTTCAGTTCTTCAGTGTTAGAACATGGGTTATAGCTCCAAAGGTTCACAATCACTCCTGCATCCAGATTCCTCTATGAGCTTCTCTCTACAGGCATCAGCTTTTGGGATATTCTCTACAGCACCACAGTTTTAAGACCCTCCTTGTTGACATGGCCTCTAGCCACTGAAGTACCTGATCATGTTGCTTGTGAGACACCATTCTGGATAGGCCAGAACAGACAGGGACATATTTCTCCTTGGTTCTCCAGGGCCTCTGTTTCTTGGCAGCACAAGGAGCCTGTTTCTGGCCCAACCTGCACCCTCCCTTGCCCTGCTGATAGATATGCCAGGCTGCTAATGCTAATTGAGCTCCAGCAAGCTTCCAGCTGCCACCGTCCCTGCTGTCTAACAGTCTACACTGCACTTCCCCCACAACTAACCTCCCTTTCCATTTCTTTAGACTTAAGTATTACAGCAATAGGAGAAAAAAAAAAATAAATAAAAAGTGCCCCTGTGAGCTCTGAGTGGCCTGTTAATGAATATTACAGGTTACCTCCATGTTTTACTCCAGGTGCTGTGGGTTGGAATGCTCTGAGCCCAGTTCAAAGTATAAACTTGAAACAGTATAGATACAACCTTTCTTTGCCTTTTCCCCCATCTCCTCCCATATCCCTCTCTGCCCTTGGGAGAAGGATATATCCTTGTCAAATGATTTGCAGGCTGCAAAGCAGATTCCTGGGGCCAGATGAAGGACACTGAACCCAAGACCTGCAGCAGAGGGTCCAGACTGTTTGTGACTTGAGAAGCCAATTTTTTTGCCAAGCCCTCTAATTTATCTGTCCCCTCAGTTTTACTCTGAGTGAGAAACTACTTCTGACAAGTCTACCAGCTGGACCAGCTGCGCAGCAGTGCCCCTCTTCCCCTCGTGCCCCAGCCAAGTATTTCTTCATGGTCCAGTAGCTACTATCTTGCTCTTCCCCACCCAGGTTTCATCATAGTCTCAACAGCAACCGGTTTCTAATGTTTTGTCTAGCCAAACTGTTTTCACACCTAGCAAATCCTCACATTTCCAACAAGTGTACGTGCACCCTCTTGAATTCTCCAGCAATCCTCATTGCATATTCCTTTTTTGATCTCACTCTTAATCCCTTTCAAGTTCTTCCTATATATCATATCACATTTATTTCTTCCCCTTTTGCAAGAGACTGGCCATGTCTCTGCCCTGCACCCACATCTCAGTGGTGCAAGCAGCCTGGGGTACCAAGCGCTCAAGTACCCTGAGTTTTGAGGACACCTGGATGCTGCTGAGTCTCAAGAGGTTGGAAACATGAATTAGCAATTGAAGCTTGAGGGAAGGGAGGAAGGTACTCTCCCCTTTGGTGCTCTCTCCTACCTGCTGGCTTTAAGTAGGGTTGACAATGAGACAGACAAATTGTGAGAGGCTGATTTAGTGACCAGTGCTGTTCAGCTGTGTTTTGGCCACAACAACCCCCTGCAGCGCTACAGGCTGGGCACAGAGTGGCTGGAAAGCAGCCAGGCAGAAAGGGACCTGGGGGTACTAATTGACAGGAAGCTCAACATGAGCCAACAGTGTGCCCAGGTGGCCAAGAAGGCCAATGGGATCTTGTCCTGTATCAAAAATAGCGTGGCCAGCAGGAGCAGGGAAGTGATCCTTCCCCTGTACTCTGCGTTGGTGAGGCCACACCTTGAGTATTGTGTTCAGTTCTGGGCCCCTCAGTTCAGAAAGGATATTGAGGTGCTGGAGCGGGTCCAGAGAAGAGCAACAAGGCTGGTGAAGGGACTGGAGCATAAGTCCTATGGGGAGAGGCTGAGGGAGCTGGGGTTGTTTAGCCTGGAGAAGAGGAGGCTCAGAGGTGACCTCATCACCGTCTATAACTACCTGAAGGGAAGTTCTAGCCAGGTGGGGGTTGGTCTCTTCTCTCAGGCACTCAGCAATAGGACAAGGGGGCACGGGCTTAAGCTCCGCCAGGGGAAATTTAAGTTGGATATCAGGAGAAAATTCTTTACAGAGAGAGTAATCAGGCATTGGAATGGGCTGCCCAGAGAGGTGGTGGATTCACCATCCCTGGAGATTTTTAAACGCAGATTGGACGTGGCACTGAGTGCCATGATCTAGTAAATGGACTGGATTTGGACCAAGGGTTGGACTCGATGATCTCGGAGGTCTTTTCCAACCCAATCGATTCTATGATTCTATGATTCAGGCATGTGCTTGTCTTCCTAAGGAAGACATGGATAGCAGCTGTGTACCAAATGCAGCAGCAGGAAATATAAACAGAACTTGGCTTGACCTAACTGCTTTTCCTCTTCCCAGTCCAGGAAAACTAATATAGATTTGACTATTTGCCCCCTTGCATAAATCACGTTGCACACACAACCCATTTTTTACCTGCTTGCTGAAACACTCTGAAACTGGGCCCCGGGTAGTCAAAAGCCCTTCTGTCCAGATGCCTATGGCTGTTTGTGCACTGCTGTGTTAGCCATCACCTGCTGTGATGCAGCTGTCCACATTTAGAAGGGGGAGGATGGAGAAGTCTTACAGCTGCTTTTAATCTGCTGCTGCTTAAATGTGAGCTCTGATGCTAAGGGAAGAATGTAGATGTGTATATATGCATATATAAAAGATAGTTTTGTGCTCTACAAACACAAAAAGCTCTGATTTCATACAGCCCTGCTCCCTAGTACTTAATTTCATGCAAGCTCACAACCCAATAAGCACTTCCTCACTAAAATACTCTCAGGTTTTTTAAATGTTTCTGTTTCTTGCTGTACTGTTTCAGACAGCTGCCTAGACCTTTCTATATGTGAGTGAGACTGGCTGAATATTTCCTGGAGGGGACATACCAAAATATTTCTTGGTAGTAACACTATCTCATTTTTTTGGATCACCTCTCCCTGAAGCATTCTTTCACATCCTGTTTTCATTTGACTACAGCTGTGATTTGGATTAAAGCTATTGCCATTTCTCCCTTTTCACTATATTTCTAAATCATAGGAGCGCATCTTTCTTCATGCAAGTTTTTAAATTATTTCCCTACTCATTGTCCTAGTACCTGTATAGCTAAAGGCAGGGGAAAATCTCCCATTGCTATAAGCAATACACTGGCATGCACAGTCACTGAGCTGTGACAAGCAGCCCAAATAATACCTGACTGTGGCATTGCCAGACTTGCACATGCCAGACAGTGTTAACAGCTCTCCTGTGTTTTCCCAAGTGTGGGAGAGACCATTCAACAATACTAGCGAAAAGGAACAGAAACCAGTACAAATGCAAAGACTGCTTGATATGCTGGTAAGAATTTGTCTGTTCTTAGGAGAAGAAAAAGTAGCACTTCAAAGGTTAAAGTGCTTCCTTTTAATTGAAAAAAGCAGCATCCCAATTCAAATCCATGGCAGACACCAAACACACTGCTGATGAGGCAAGCAAATATGTAACTTTTCCTCCCACAAGTGTTACTGGCAGAACACTTCTAGTGAAGCATTGAAGGTCATTATCCATTTTTCACAAGAGGAAAATTACGTATTTATTCTCTTGCAGCTCAAATAAATGTTGCCAGAAGCCTTGTGCAGATGGGCCCTATTTATGGTAACACTT